ACACCCTGACAGGGAAAAAAAAATTCCCTCATGCCTAATCTGAGTTTCTCCTGCCTCAGCTATCTCAGCTTATGGCCATAAGGGATGGCAAGGATGGAGCTGTCCATGTGTTCACCTCTGGAGGGTGTAAAGCAGTGATGGCTTTGTTGTTTCTCCCCACAGCTGTCCCAAAAAGTCCCCCACAAGTTGACCAACCCCAAATTCAACGACCCCCACGTGAAGACCAACCTGCTGCTGCAGGCTCACCTGTCGCGCATGCAGCTCAGCGCGGAGCTGCAGTCGGACACCGAGGAGATCCTCAGCAAGGTATGATGGCTCTGAGGGCACCTGTGTGTCTCTGTCACCTTGTGGCACCACCACCTGACCTGTCCCTGTGCCTCCTGTCCAGGCCATCCGGCTGATCCAGGCCTGTGTGGATGTGCTGTCCAGCAATGGGTGGCTCAGCCCGGCGCTGGCTGCCATGGAGCTGGCACAGATGGTGACACAGGCCATGTGGTCCAAGGATTCTTACCTCAAGCAGCTCCCTCACTTCACCTCGGAGCACATCAAGCGCTGCACGGACAAGGTAAAGCTTGGGGGGAGCACTGTGGTCCTCTTGGAGTGATGGGAAGTGTGGGGCTCTCCTGCTCTGCTCTGCTGAGGCTCCACCTGGAGTGCTGCACACAGTTCTGGTGTCCTCAACATCAGAAGGATGTGGAACTGTTGGAGCAAGTCCAGAGGAGGTCACAAAGCTGCTCAGAGCACTGGAGCACCTTCCCTACAAGAACAGGGAGTGAGAGTTGGGGCTGTTCAGCCTGGAGAAGAGAAGGTTGTGTGGAGACCTCAGAGCAGCCTGGAGGAGCTGAAGGGGCTCCAGAGAAGATGGAGAGGGACTCAGTTAGGAGCTGCAGTGATAGGACAACGGGTAATGGGGATAAATTGAAAAAGGGAAATTTAGATTGGACCTTAGGAAGGAATTCCTCCCTGTGAGGGTAGTGAGACACTGGCACAGGTTGCCCAGTGAGCCTTGAGCAACCTGCTCTGGTGGGAGATGTCCCTGCCCAGGGCAGGGGTTGGGACTGGATCATCTCTAAGCTCCATCCCAACCCTCTAACTATGTATGAAACTCTCTAAACTTGCTCCTTGCAGGGTGTGGAGAGCGTCTTTGACATCATGGAGATGGAGGACGAGGACCGGAACGCGCTGCTGCAGCTGTCGGACGCGCAGATCGCCGACGTCGCCCGTTTCTGTAACCGCTACCCCAACATCGAGCTCT